TGCCTGATCCGCTGTTAACTGTTTTGGCACCACACCAGGCCTGCACCCACCTCTCTTCAGCCCCCACTCCTTGATGGCAGGCACTAGCCTGTTTGTTTGAACCACTGTACATATCCCATGCCTGGAGCAGTGGCTCCTAGGAGGATCTAATGGTACATGTTAAGTGGGTGAAGTAAATTAATTAAATTTATACCAAGCAAAACAGTAAGAACCTATTCTTTGGGCTTTCTTGCTTCCGGGCCATCTTGGCAACTACTTTTGGTTGGGGGCCGTCCCGCGCCTCAGGCAGGAAGATGGTGACTGCAAAGACGAAAAAGTCACTGGAGTTGATCAACTCTCGGCTCCAACTTGTTATGAAAAGTGGGAAGTACATCCTGGGGTACAAGCAGACTCTGAAGGTGATCAGACAAGGCAAAGCGAAGTTGGTCATCCTCGCCAACAACTGCCCAGCTTTGAGGAAATCTGAAATAGCGTACTATGCCATGTTGGCCAAAACTGGTGTCCATCACTACAATGGAAATAATACTGAATTGGGCACAGCATGTGGAAAATACTACAGAGTATGCACACTGGCTATCATTGATCCAGGTGATTCCAGTGTCATTAGAAGTATGCTCGAACAGACCAGTGAAAAGTAAATCATGCAACATTTTTCTTTAATAAAGCTTGCCAGAGCTTGCTTTTTTTTTTTTTTTTTATAGAATCTATTCTTTGGAAAAGATTCAGTCAGCTTCCTTTGTTCATGATAGGTATAGTCTGCAAAGTTGCCATGGACACTGGACTAACCAATACTGAACCATTACTGTTAAGGAAATGCAGGGATAAGTTCTCCAAGCCTCTGGTCACAGCTCTTTTGTCTACTGATCAATATAGAGCTTCATTTTATGTACGCTTCTGTTTAACGAAATCTTATTTAATGTGCATTGTTAATTCATTAGTATTGAACTTATGTTATGGCTAACACTATAAACTCATGCCTGGACAAAGCCTAACGAACACGTGTTCTCACCATAACGCACAGCACAACCTGACTATATTTAGGAATACTAGACAGCCTTCTAACACTACGCTGGGGGCCATTTTAAACAGTGAAATCACCAACAAAAAGCACAAAAATGCAAAATATAGACACTACCTACTAAATAGACCGTGAGAAGGATAGTTGTTTATGTACTATGAGAACTGAAACAAAAGGCAGAATGTCACATTTAATCACATATATCTTTACAATGTATTACAGTTCTTTTTCCAGTGTGATTACCATGCATCACTGTCAAGACAGTTATTACAATCCACATCGTCATTATCAAATAGATTTTCATCATTTTTTCAGATTATTATTATTTTATTTTTATTTATTTTTAAATTATTATTCACATATTAAATCGCTGTACCTTATGTGACCTCGGGTGGGAACAGATGCATCATGTAACTCAACTCTTTCACTACTCATGTTCACAGGTGACCCTAAAAGTACTGTGGGTATTGATTTGGGGGTTACAAACAAACTCTAGCAAATAGGCAAACGCACAAATACAGAATCTGAGAATAATGAGGATCAACTATATTTGGAAATAAGTTCTTCTCACCATTGAGTTAGTTTCAGGCGCCTTTGTATTTAAATAAAATTAACTTCTTTAATAAAAAGTCAGTTTTGTTCTTATTCCCCCCTTAGTTGCAGTTTTGTTTTCTGTGGTTTCAGTTACCCTTGGTCAACCACAATTTGAAAATATTAAATGGAAATTACAGAAATAAGTAATGTGTAAGTTTTAGATTATACTGTTCTGTACAGTGTGTTGAAATCTCATGCTATCCTTCTGAGATGTAAATGGTCCCCTCCTCTAGCATATCCATGTGTCCTACCCACCAATTAGTCACTTAGTAGCCATCTCAGTTATCAGATTGATTGTCATGGTATCACATTGCTTATATTCAAATGACTTATTTTACCTAACAGTGGCCCCAAAACACAATAGTAGTGATGCTGGCAATTTGGATATGCCCAAGAGAAGCTGCAGAGTGCTTCCTTTAAGTGGAAAGCTGAGATAGTTCTCAACTTAACAAGGAAAGGAAAAAAAACCTGTATGTTGAGCTTGCTAAGATCTTATGATAAGAACAAATCTTTAATCCATGAAATTGTGAAGAAGGAAAAATAAATTCACACTAATTTTACTACCACATCTCAGACTGCTAAATTTACGGCCACAGTGCATAAGTGCTTAGCTGGCATTACATCTGTGGGTAGAAGACAGGAAAAGAAATGTGCCCCACTTGACGGCAATGTATTGCACCAAAAAGCATTAAGCCCCTCAACAAGGGGTGTCCTGAAATGAGTCACAGCAGGCCATTGGCTGCAAGTGAAGAATGGTTACACAAATTCAGGAGCAAGATTGGACTGAAACATACAGTGGAGAGGCTGCATCTGCTGGTGAAGAAGCTGCTGCCACATGAGTTCAGTACAGTAGATACTTTGAGAGAGACATGACAGTCACATAGCTTTTATTACAGTGTAATGCCATAATTGTTCTAATTTATTAATAGTTATTTTTGTCAGTCTCTTTCTGTACCTGATTTATAAATTTTTTGATGAAATAGAATTTTATGACTTTTTATTTTTTAAGTTTTTGTTATTTTTATACATTTAATCACATATATCTTTACAGTGTATTACAGTTCTTTTTCAGACAATGCATATCAGTCAAGAAAAAGACATTCCTATCCACAACCTCATCATCAAATAGATTTTCATAATTTTTTCAGATTATTATTATTATTTATTCTCATTATTTTTTTATTTTTAAATTATTATTCAAATATTAAATCGCTATACCTGATTTATAAATTAAACTGTTATCATAGGTATTTATGTATAGGGGGGAAAATCTGTGTATAGGGTTTGGGGCTGATTTTTTTCCCACTGGGGATCTTGAAACATCCCTTGAGGATAAGAAAGTCTTGCCTGTAGTATGTCCCAGTCCTGGAATTAATAAATCCGCAGGTCTCTTATTTCTCAATTGAGGAAATTGACACCCAGGTCTTAAAACTAGTTACAGCAGAAGTCAAAATGTGGTTTTTAAGTTATTTTCCTGAGGACCCACCCCTCTGAATCACCATTACTTCCCCAGTACTTTCCAGTGCACTGTAGTGCTTGGTTAGTACATATGTTGAAATGATTAGTTAGGGCCAGCAGATAGCGTGGAGATTACAGTGCTGGATCCCACATGGCTTACAGAGCAGTTCAAGTCCCAGCAGCTAGAAAATCACACTGGGTGCATGTATCTGTGTGCCCAAAATCTCAAAAGGAGACTGGAAGAGAAGGGACTGGGGCATGGCCATCCACCCAGTGGATAATTTCTCACTTTCCCTTTGTCTCTCTGTTCTTTAGCAAAAAAAAAAAGGAGAAAAAAAAAAAAAACAAACTTTTCCAAGAACTGTTTTACTATTTAGGTGTAGCACTTCTCTGAGACTGTTGCATATGAGATCAGCCCATTTTTATATAGGACCCAGTTCAAGAGATTGTTTTTGTAAAAACTGGTGCTTTAAAGACTTTGGGGAATATCCAAAAATGTAGTGATAAGGTTCATTTTCAACCACCTAATAATCAGTGTGTAAGGAGCTCCTCCTCTGTGCCAAGCGGCATCAGATGTGGGTACAGTCATGGACAGGTCAGACATGGCCTGACCTTGGACCCTCTGGATAGCAGCTGCTATTCAAGGGGATTGTTGTGACTGCTAGAGGTGAGAAGAATGGGGTGTAATTGAGTGAGTCTGTGTATGCAGCCCCAAATCTGGAAGACTGAGCTAAATGAAAGGAGCAGGCTGGATAGTGATAAAGGGTGATGATCTGCAGGGCTCTAGCCTGGAGGTTGGCTTCCCTGCTCTCCTGATCTACTGCACAACAAGCAGAAATCTCATCATATCTTGACACCCATGTCAATTTCCTGAGGAAAAGAGAGGTCTGGTCAGAGAACATGAATGTCTGCTCCTTGGGGAAATTATTTTTTACTGCACATGATTGACATTCCAGGTTACCTGTTTTCTCCCCAGAGTTTGCTTGTCCTTAGTGTCTGAGCACTGCCTCATGCAGGCACTGTTCTCAGCACCAGATATACATCAGTTGATTCAAGCAGGCAAAGATCCCTGGTTTATACTAGCAGGGTCCTCCTGATTGTGCCCTTGATTGAGAATCAGATCCTGGAAGGAGTTGGTGCCTACTCTGAGATGTTGCTGGGCAGAGAGGCTAAGGGTAGGTCCCTGGCCTCGCTGGGTCCCTCAGCTTTGGCACCTCCCCAGCTGTAGCAGTTGCTTGCCTTTGTTCCCTTAGAATAAAGATTAATTTGCTGCTGTAGGAAAGAAGTGAATATGACTTGTGTGGACTGTCTAGGTAAAAGCAGCTGAATAAACAGCTACAATATAAAGAGTTTAGAACCATGACTTAATTTTACTGCCTCTTCCATTTTAAGAAATAGCAAAGTCTTATACTATGTATATGTATTTTAAACAAGTACATACCACGCTGCTTTGGATATGTATGGCTCTAGCTAACATTGGTGTGTTAGTACTTAGGCTTGGTGTTCAGCACACTAGGCAGTCAAATTCATGTTGAAATGATACCATGGATTTTTCTAGAAATTGTGATTTAGTAACGTGGATTCTTAGATCTTAGTCTTTTGCTTATGTAGTAGTTTGGTTTCTAAACTTGCAAAGGTGTTTAAGTCCAGCCACAGGGCTTATTTTGAAGAATCAATTTAAGTAATTCTATAATTGGTCTTTTGTGGAATTTTCATATAGGAACATCCTTATCTATAGTGGAAACATTCCTGAGGCTCCAGATAATCAGAATTTCCGTACTCTCCCATAATCAGAATTTCTAGCCACATGACCAGCCACCTATAATGCACCCCATAATGTTCTACTTTACATGTCACTCTCTGTGAGCAGATTCTCCCCGTTGCCAAGGAGATAACTGATATCTTTGTATTACTCTTTTTCTCATTTCAGCTGACACTGAAGATGTATGCATTGTAGAAAGGTTGTTCTCAAGCAGCTTAGTGGCCATCGTTAGCCTCAAAGCTCCTAGGAAGCTAAAAGTTTGCCACTTTAAGAAGGGAACCGAGATCTGCAACTATAGCTATTCTAACACAATACTGGCTGTGAAGCTGAACAGGCAGGTAAGTAATGCTCTTGTTCAAATCTGACTGCCGGGGTGCTCTGCCCACCACTTGTCAGCATGGCTGCAGTTGTCTCAACAAGGCCTACATCCAGGTCCCTTTGCCAGCTCTGCCATTACCTGCTGCCTCTTGCCCACATTGCTGTGCACTGATCCTTCACCCCACCACTGACTACTGCTCTCCCATCTCCCCAGCTCTGCTGAAACCATTCCATTCATGATGAATGGCTCTGCGTCTGTTAGATTATTTTATGCATCCTTTGAGACACGAATCTTAACCATCCTTTTGTATACCTGTATACACCATTCATAGAGTTGATATCATAGTTTTTGGTTTTATTTATATTACATTGTTTTGCATTTAAAACGTTTTACCTTTTAAAACTCTAACAGACTCTTTGCTTTTATAAGGAAATTTAACCTTTAAGATGAAGGACTTACTACTGTTTTTTATATCTTCCCTTAAACTAGCAAGAATGTCTGGACAGGGTGAGGACTTGGTGAATAGCCCTTGAGTTTAATTCATGATCCTGTCACCTGGCTTGTACTGTCTTACAAAATAACAGCAATGCCCATGAGATCCTTTGTGTTTTCTGTTTATAGCGGTGCTCTGTGCAGGGCAGGTTAGTGAAGTACCAGTTAGGAAATGTCCATTACGACAGCTGGTAGTCATAGCAGAGATACAGTGACTGGATAAAATAGTTGCAGTGAAGGCTCTGAGTGTACATGACTGCAACTGGGAATTGGCTCGTTAGCTGACAAAGTTAGTTAAAATGGGAAATGATAGGACAGAAACTGAGCAGCCCTAATCTAAAAAATCTGAAATGCTCCAAAGTTCAAAACTTTCTGAGTGCTGACATGATGCCACAAGTGGAAATTCCACATCTGTCCTTACCTGACAGGTTGCAGTCAAAATACTGCAATATAAAGATAGGGTATAAAAATTACCTTTGGGTTAGATGTAAAGGTGTATATGAAACATAAATGAATTTTGTGTTTAGACTTAGATCCCATCCCCAGATACCTCATTATGTACATTTTTGATGGTACATCTATAAGTCCAAGTCTGCATTAGTTTTCTTTAGAACAGAAAAAGAACTTGGAAAATCAGCTGCGTGCAAAATGAAATTTTATACTTTAAAAGTGTCTAGGCTTTTATTTTCATTGTACCCATTCTTTATTCAACATCAGTGTTTAAAGGCAGTTTACCATTAGCAAATCTATCCAAAGCACACTTTCCTTAGCTACAGCTTATGTGATACTGAAGTAAATCGCCTGGTTATAATTCCTCGTACTGCTGGCATCAGTAATCGTGGCTGGCACAGCTGGCTCTAGACTCCACTGACTAGTATTGGAAAGCCATCTGTATCCTCTACGCCTTGTGCATCTGGTCTGCATGTTCTGGAAGGAATCGAGGAGTCAGTTAAGTGAAGATCAGGGGGCATGTTTTGTATTGGACATTTTTTCATGCTTGATTTTCTTTGTTTTTCATTTCTATTCTAGAGGCTGATAGTATGCCTAGAAGAGTCTCTGTATATACATAACATTCGGGACATGAAGGTACTACATACAATCAGGGAGACCCCCCCAAACCCTGCAGGTAAATTGATTTGTGAGAAGAGAATCCTGCTTTTCTGATTTTGCCTTTTAAAGATAAGCTATAGGTGAGAGAAATTTTTTTCTCTTTGTAGGTTCCACAGATGAGACAGATTTTAAAAGTATTGATCTTAAGCCAAGCAGCCTTCCTACTGATGCTGGTCTTGTGACCATATAAATTCATTAGTTTGATCAACTTTCAATTTTGCGTTTACTGATCAATTCAAACCAAAGGCCTTTAATCTGTTCTTATTATATGATGTCACTAGAGATGGTGGTTTGGGGTACATAACTTTAAAACAAAAGAATGAACAAGGTTGTAGTAGAGCTATTTTTGACTTCTACATGTTTTGTTAAATTAATGCTAAATAATATATAACAACCAGGACAGAAATCCTCTAAGACTGCATTTTGTTCTTCATGTATTATTCACAGGCTTGTGTGCACTATCCATAAACAATGACAATTGTTACTTGGCATATCCGGGAAGTGCAACCATTGGAGAGGTGCAGGTCTTTGACACCATTAACTTGGTGAGATTCCTTTTGTTCTTGGATAACTCTTGAAAATGTATCTTTTTTCTAAAGAGAAGTGCTCTGGTATCTGGCATCCTGTTTGTTTGGCTCTGCAGTACAGTGTTCACTGCTATTTTAATGGCAAAGCAGGTCTGATTAATTCTGCCTCCAGGTCTATGACTAAGTTAACACATGTACTGAACTTCTAGCAGTGTGAGTGAAGGAATGTAGAAAACTCTGGATAGATAGCTTGTTTTTTTTTAAAAAAAAAAAAAAAAAGTTTGAGCAGGGGCCAGCAGGTAGCATTGTGGCTAAGATGCTGGACCTCCCACATGGCTGACCACAGTTCATATCCTGGATCTGGTGACTTGCTTTCTCATTTTCCTACTCTCTCTCTTTCTCTGTCTCTCTCTGGTGATTGTATGTACCCTATAGCAAATTGAAAAATAATAATAAATAAAATTAGGTAAATAATCTTTTTTTATATATTTAACTTTATTTTAATTTGACCAGATAGGGACAGAGTGGGAGAAGCAGAGTGAGAAAGCAAGCCCCCAGATCTGGGACTCCAACCATGGTCAGCCATGTGGGAGGAGTCCAGTGCCCTTTACCACCACACTGCCTACCAGTCCCCCTTTTTTTTATTTTCACAGAAAGATTTTTCCTGTAGGGCACGTGTGCTCACTGGAGAGACAGAAAGAGATAGAAAGCAAGAAATCACCCCAGGGGGGATGACCATGCCACAGTCTCTTTTCCTCCATTCTCCTCTCAGGATCTTGGGCACGCACACACGCACAGATGCCCAGTGTGAGTTTTAAGCCACCGGGTCCAGGACTTGAACTGCAGTTAACTACATGGGAGTCCAATGACATAGCCATTATGCCATCTGCTGGTCCCAAGTAAATAATAATTTTTTTGGAGAGGTTTTTGCTATAGGGCACATGTGCTTGCCAGAAAGACAGAGACAGAAAGTGAGAAATCACTCCCCAGGGGGATGGCCACACTGCAATCCCTTCTCCTCCATTCTCCTCTCAGAATGTTGGACACACATGCACACGCGCCTGGCGTGAGTTTAAGCCACCAGGTCCGGAACTCGAACTGTAGTCAACTACGTGGGAATCCAGCGACATAGCCATTATGCCAACTACTGGTCCCAGTAAATGATTCTTAAAAAAAAAAAAAAAAAAAATTTAAGCAGCATACCCTTGGACCCTACCCCCAGTAAGTCAGGTGGATTTGTATTTGTATTAACTGTCAATGGTGTTTTATTATAGTAACAGCTAGTCAGTATTTCAGTGTCTTGACCAAATAGTAGTGCAAGGGAAAGACTCTTGTTGCATGGAAGTCACATTTTATTGGTTTCCCTTTCAGAGAGCTGCAAACATGATCCCAGCTCATGACAGTCCTTTAGCGGCATTGGCTTTTGATGCAAGTGGAACCAAACTTGCCACTGCTTCAGAGAAGGTGAGTCTCTTGTAGCCCTGTAGAAACTAGCACAAAGGCTTCGATGGACTTTTTCATCTCACTCACAGAGTGAAGTGACCAAACAAGTTTTTATATCCCCAGGTTCGAGAAAAGGAAAGATAATAACCTGCTAGTCAGGCTGTCCATGTGGGCTGCCACAGAGTGAGTGAATCTCGTATACTGCCATTGTCCAACAAGAAGGCTAATAGGTATTTCTGGTAGCTAGAAATGTACAAAAGAGGTGAAAATGCCATTTGTAACCACACCACTCACGTAGTGCATTTTTAATTACAAAACTAACATATGACTATAAAGAGTTAAAGCAACTGAATCTCACATGGCCTACTTCGTGGTTCAAGTCCTGGACCCTGTGGCATGAAACACATCATGCGCATGTGCCTCTGTGCCCCAAATCCTGAGAGAATGGATGAGAAGGGATTATATCATGGCCATCCCTCTCAGGGAGCGCTTTCTCTCCTCCCTCCTCCCTCCTCCTCCTCCTCCTTCTTCTCTCTCTCTCTCTCTCTCTGGCAAGCGCACACACCCTCTAGCAAAAACTTAAAAAAAAAAAAAAGCATAATTCTATTTTCCAGTTGATCTAAATACTTTTCAGTGTATTTTATTCTTTTTTAGTTAAGGAAATAAGTCATACTATATGTGTAATTTATCATTGTCATTTAAGTGTGCATAATATTGCATCTCTAATTAAAAATATTTTTTTGTAATGGCTGTACAAATATTTAATCATCATCCTTTTAGGACATTGACATTGATGTTGTTTATAATATGTTGTTATTATAGATTAATATTGGGTTGTTGAAAGTCATGCATTTTTGCAAAGAAAAACAAAAAAATTTGTTGTGACTTTCCAAAAAACCTAATATATTTAAATAAATATAAATATATAAATCTTTTTTAAATACACATTTTGTTAGGTCCACATGTATCTATACGTAACTTGTATATTTCGATTTAAGTTTTATATTACTTGTGAGTGTGAGTTATCATGGTATGTGGTTCATTGTCAAATTCTTAATTCTTTTTTTTTTTTTTTTTTTTTTTTAGTTTTCTACATGGTTCATGTGCTCACTAGAAAGAGACAGAGTGAGAAAGTGAAAAGTCACCTTCCAGGAGGGATGGTCTTTCTGCAATACCTTCTCTCCATTATCTTCTGGGGATTTTTGGGCATGCACGCACACACACGGTGTGTTTTCCAAGCTACCAGATCCAGGACTTGAACCACACAGTTGGCTATATGGGATCCAGCCACCTTAGCAATCATGCCATCAGCTGGCCATATATACATTTCTAGGTTAAAAGAATGTGGCCTTTTCCCTTTTGTTTTTTTCTTTCTTTCTTTTAGTTAATTGCTAGAGGGTACTTGTGCTTTCCAGAGAACACGTGTGCTGGCCAGAAAGAGAGGGTAAAAGCACCCCTAATGGGGTGTGGTCACACCACATTTCCATCCTGTTGGAACTCTAGGCACACATGCCTGCTGTGTTCTTCATGCCACTGGGGCCAGGACTCGAACTTGTGGTTTGCACAAGACCCCTTGGGGAATTCAGGCACTAAGACTCAAAATTCCCTCATGGCCCAGAGCAGAGCTGTCACTGAAAATGTACCATGTGGTTCATTTCTAGTTTGATGTAAAAGAAATAGAAAAAAATCTGCTTTTACTCAGATGCATATATATATATATACATGTGTGTGTATGTATATGTATATATGTATACACGTGTATATATATATATATATATATATACACACACACACACATACACGTACATACATACATACATACATATTTTTTTTTCCTTGTTATAGGGGACCGTGATTAGGGTATTTTCCATTCCAGAGGGTCAAAAACTCTTTGAGTTCCGGAGAGGAGTTAAAAGGTAAATATAACATCTTCATAATTTATTCTAGAGGTTGTATTTCCATTTCAGGTTTTTATTATCTGTGACCAAACAAAGTGAAAACTTAAACACTGAGGAAATTCCAGGTAAATACAGGAGCATTTTAAACCCATTTGGATTACCAGTTGAAATTTGGAGTCAGCCTTGTCATGGGAGGTAAAGAACATGTTTATAAAAGCAAACTAGGTTTTCACCTGTGTGGATTTTCACCAACCTGGATTTGGTTAACTGCTAGAGAACCTAAGAGCTGGGCACTCACATAGCCAGGCCAGGCGCTAGGCATTTATCTAGGCACTTAATCTCCGCAGCCTGCCCTGAGATTGCAGAATGATGATCTCATCTGGTTAGCTCGCTACTCTCAGAATACCTCCCAGCTCCCCTTTCACCAACTGAAGATGGCTTTGGCTTTTTCTTTGAAAAAGAACCCGTAAGTTACAGTTTGCAGTCCTCAAAAGTTCCCAGCCAGGCTGCAGACCTTCCTGCATTTGAACTTGGCATGCTTTCCTAACTCTTGCCTCATGGGCAGGAAGGGCCTCCCCCATGTGGAAAAATAAGGCAGGTGAGACTTGAGCTAGAACTCTACATATGGCTCAGATTCGTGGGTACCACCTACAGCTGTGGTCCTCAGGAAGCACTACTCAGACTTTGGTTCTCTGGTTCCTCATCTCACATGGAAATATAATAAATGGTACTGACCTTTCCAAGACTGGTCACTGAAGCAGAAGATGCTTGTTCCTCAGGAAGTATTCAGTAACTTGCAGCTTTGCCTATCCTCTATGGGATGTGGGGTCAGTCTCAAAGATGGAGCAGACCTGCTTTAGTGTTCTTATCTTAAAAGCCAAAACTCCACAGCCCCTTCTAGTCTGCCTCCTGTTTTCCTTGGTCTTCCTTACACCACACATTTCTAGATTCTTCTTGTTTTGCTATTCCTGCTCAGTTTCCACCTTCTGTGTCTGATTTCTAGTTCAGGAGGAACCTTTACCCCACAAAATAACCTGATAGCCATCCTAACCTAAGCTCTCTATGTGTGCTGAGCTCCTGGCTGGATGTCCAACCCTGGCTCCTCCTTGAGGTGAATTTATATTCTCCTGCCTGCTGACCATTGGACACCTCAGGCAGCCAGGTCAC